GAGTAATTTGCTTTATGATTAATCAACATTTCGAGTAAAATGAGTAATCAACATTTCAACTCTTTACATATGTATAAAGGAGTTAAAGTTCCTTGACACTTTAAAAAACAACGTTTCTGTTTTCAAAAATTAAAACGAAAATTTTTTTTCATATACAGAATGTAAAAAAGAAAATAAGCATTTTCCAAAGCAAACTCTTTTAACGAGTAAAATTATTTTTTTTGAGTAATCATATTTCAAGTAACTCGATTAATCATCGTTTTGAGTAATCAAAATCTTGATTACTCGAGTAATTGATTAACCGAACAATTGATTAACCAACTTGCTCGAGTAATCGAATAATCGCACAGCCCTAATAAAAAGATATAAAAAGAAAACGTGAAAGCAGTCACACAAAAAAAATTCTAAAAATCAACGGAATTTTTTAGCCGGTTGAAACTTGCATTTAATAACACAAAAATTAGAATATAAGCTCGAAATTTTTATGAAATTTTTTTTAATTTTGGCTTAATTTTATATAACACGTGCACACTTTTTTGAGCCACTGTATTTGAGCACAAAAAAAAAACCAGTAAGCAAAACGCTTTAATTCTTAGTTAAACTGTACTCTTTAACGCACATTTTTGTTTTTTCTCCACCTCACAGCGCAATGCTGAGAAGCTGATGATAATGATTGAAGAAGTCTACCGCTGGTTACCGCTGGGAACCATTGTCAACAATCGGGTGTTGATTGTGCATGGCGGCATCTCCGATACAACTGATTTGGATATGATAAAAAGTATCGACAGAGGAAAGGTGAGGCAAGGAGATAATATTAAAAAGAAAAGCAAGAGAAAGGTGGTAACAGAAAAATCAATCACATGCACGCACATAGTATGCTGGAAAATTAAAAGTATATATAAAAAGTTGACCTGTGAAGACATGCTGATAAGGGACATCATACTTTAGGGAACACAGTATAAAAAACGCAAAGAAAGTCCAACTTATTGATTTTACGTTAATGAATTCCCTAGCGTATGTCTCGCTGTCAATTTTAACAGTAATTTGTNCACCTCACAGCGCAATGCTGAGAAATTGATGATAATGATTGAAGAAGTCTACCGCTGGTTACCGCTGGGAACCATTGTCAACAATCGGGTGTTGATTGTGCATGGCGGCATCTCCGATACAACCGATTTGGATATGATAAAAAGTATCGACAGAGGAAAGGTGAGGCAAGGAGATAATATTAAAAAGAAAAACAAGAATAAGGTAACAGAAAAATCAACCACATGCACGCACATAGTATGTGGGCAAATGAAAAGTGTATATAAAAAGTTGACCTGTGAAGACATGCTGATAAGGGACATCATACTTTAGGGAACACAGTTTAAAAAACGCAAAGAAAGTTCAACTTATTGATTTTACGTTAATGAATTCCCTAGCGTTTGTCTCGCTGTCAATTTTAACAGTAATTTGATTAACCTCATTAAAAGCTCGTCTTACGTATAAACACACGCACTACATTTTTACTCTACTGTGCTAACTTACCTACATACTTACAGCTCATTGCCATTATTACCATCCTGCTGCTCTAATTATTGCTACTGCCCGATTAATGTTTGTCCCTTTGCCTTTAATTGGTACCTGGCCAGCGCTTAATGAACTCATTGGCATTGTCATGTGAATTACTTGCCTTCAATTAACACAAAGATAAGGTTGGCTAAGCGTTGAAAGAAAATTGCAAATGGCGCATTGTTAATTTTAAAGTGTTGTAATTTAAATACATACATACACACATACCTACGTAGTAACATAGGCAAGTGGGATGTGGAGTGGATTGAAATGTCAGCTAATTAATGCATGAGTCGAAGCCCTTAGGTACTTACAAACATACAAAAAAAAATTTACTGACTTGTACAAGTAGAACACATATCGCGCAGTTACATACTTACCTACATTTGTATGACTCCAAGCGCCTGCACTAGCGGTGAATGAGAACAATGACCTACACTGCGTATGAGTGCCATTTTAATGAAAGGCAAGGGTCTTGTTNGCACTACATTTTTACTCTACTGTGCTAACTTACCTACATACTTACAGCTCATTGCCATTATTACCATCCTGCTGCTCTAATTATTGCTACTGCCCGATTAATGTTTGTCCCTTTGCCTTTAATTGGTACCTGGCCAGCGCTTAATGAACTCATTGGCATTGTCATGTGAATTACTTGCCTTCAATTAACACCAAGATAAGCTTGACAGTGTGTTGAAAGAAAATTGCAAATGGCGCATTGTTAATTTTAAAGTGTTGTAATTAATATACATACATACATACATACATACATACATACCTACGTAGTAACATAGGCAAGTGGGATGTGGAGTGGATTGAAATGTCAGCTAATTAATGCATGAGTCGAAGCCTTTAGGTACTTACAAACATACAAAAAAATTTACTGACTTGTACAAGTAGAACACATATCGCGCAGTTACATATGTACTTACCTACATTTGTATGACTCCAAGCGCCTGCATTAGCGGCGAATGAGTACAATGACCTACACTGCGTATGAGTGACAATTTAATGAAAGGCAAGGGTCTTGTAAATTCTGCTGGCGTACACACATACACATACCCTGTGGGGAAAATCGCTAGTTCTGAACTGGTGCGCTGCTAGTACATTTAGACCCAGTACTGGTTCGCAATAAATCTCTTTTGCATGCAAACAACTGGCGAATTTTTCGATAGTTCTGAACCAGTTCTAAAATCGACAGACAAGTGAAAAAATTATCATGATTTTTCAATCGTTTTGGTTCTTCCGTGTGATGTGTGATTTTAAATTATTTTCAAAGAAATGTGTTTTAAATTTGAAATTAANATGATTTTTCAATCTTTTTGGTTCTTCCGTGTGTGCGATTTTAAATTATTTTCAAAGAAATACCTTTTCAATTTGAAATTACATATGTTTTAATTTTTGTAAGAAATGCACGTTTACATACCTTTGGCTTT